ACGCAATCCCCAGATACGTGACAACATATATTTCCACCTACTGAAATAACATTATTTGCATAGACCAGAAGCAGTTATGTCCCGTTCGATTTCAGAATCGCCTGGATTTCTTGGACCTTCCTCATGGTCCATTCTGAGAGAAAGCTGAAAAACGCTGGAGATGGAGTTTCTCTTTCTTTCAAACTTTCCTGAATGGGAAATGTACCAGACACATTTGTAAATATACGGACCTTCTTTAAGGTGTCATTTAAGTAAATTTTAATGCTCTTAACTTGTTTCATGGGTGTATTGAACTCTGTGGGAATAGTGTATAGCATTTCCCTCCTAAATGAATCATGGACTCCTTAATGTCTGTAAGTGTTTGTTATATTGTGCCAGTGCATTCCTAGTTTTTTTTTCAGTGTCTGAAAATTTCCAAAATATATTCAGTGTCAGATCTATTTATAAATGTACACTAATACTCCCCAAACAAAAAATAAATTCTGTGGCCTGTAGTCTGCAAGCTTACTCTACCGACTGAGTGATCTTAGCTTGTCGTCAAGTTAGCGCCAACTTTAGCTGATAGGGGTTGTCGCGCGGTCAACTTAACGGATCCCCATGGCTGTTTATCTCGTTTTTCTAGACCTTAGCCCCGACTTCCTTGAAATAGCTCCACAATTATCCTCAGGAGGCTGAGTGGCCTCCGTTCCAGACCCACTACTTCTCAGAAAATCTGGTAGAGCGGGGAATCGAACACTTGACCTCTGGATCTGCAGCCAGAAACTGTGACCAGCAGATCACAGAGGCGGCCATTAGAAACATTCGATACGACGAGAAAACGAAATTCACCAAAACAAATGTAATCCTCATATGAATAAACCAAACAAGTTGAAAATTGCATATCATATAAATAAACGTTCCCTCTATTTTTTTTTATTTCCAGTGGGGTGGGACTAAGTCCCTTGTACTGCTTCTACTTCAGGCCTATTGTTCCAGCCCCAGATGATAGGTGTGGGTGACTGTGGAGCAATTGGTGGAATTAAGATTGGCAGGGAAACCGAAGTACTCGGAGAAAACCTGCCCCAACGCCACTTTGTCCACCACAAATCCCACTTGACCAGAGCCGGGATCGAACCCGGGCCGCCGCGGTGGGAAGCCAGCGACTGACCGCTTGAGCTATGGCGCGGCCTCCAGGTCGAGACCTTCCGACGGACTGATCACTCGTCCAAAGGTTTTCTACCGCCTGTAAAATAATCATGAAACTGATTAATCAGAGGCCAGGGCCGAAATTGGCTGTAGAGCCAGTGAAAACGATCGTTTTTATTGTAACGTGTTTGGGCGACTGGAGACGAGGTTCGAATTGGTAATTGGTTTTACTAATTACCTACAGGTCTTAATTGCAATTAATTATAACACTATTAATGCACAATGCACAATCTCTCCACTCGAATCTGTTCACACTATCTGCAGTAGATTTCACATACTTGTATTTAAAACGCGGGAGCTCTAGAAGTCTGTCTGAATTATTCACTCCCAATGTCACTGCACTAGAGCAGTCCAATCCGCAACTCTCCCGTGGTGTGCGTGCCCCGAGGCCTATGGACTCGAATGTTCCTATATAGAGCCAATACGTGAAAACATACTGTGAAGAATATGAACATTTTCTAGGCAACGTTTTGTTAAACACAGCCTAAAACCGTAGTAACAACGAAGAAGCAGAAGTCCGCTTGCTAAGCAACGGTTCGCGTATCCGCTACAACTGATGCAGGAGACCAATTGACTAAGTGTCCGGTGTGGTGGCTTCACCTCCGTCCTCCCGAACTTATAAAAGACACTTCGCTCATGAATTCAATTCACTCATTTGTAAGAGATTTGCGTAGGCAGTTCAGTAACTGAATATTCAGCTGTGAAGTGCTAACGAGGTAAGAGTCTTTATCAAACAACTAGTAAGCAGACGCTGAAGACTTTGTTTTGCATGCTATAGGCACAGTTATCTCTAGAGCGTTACAATTATTTTTAGTTACCTCTTGTGAGTGTAACATGCCTTGGAGGCCCATAGGTTTCTGACATGTTGAGGTTCCCACATTTTCTAGAATATCCGCTCATAGATGGCGGCAAGGTTGTCAGCCCTACTCGCCGGCCGCCCTTTACCACCAGAAATATTCCTGGTACTCATTTCTGTTAGAGACGCGCAAGTGTGCTCCGAGGCCTGTGTGGCTCAACAGATTCTGCGTAGAGCCAATACGCCACAATGTTATACATATATATTAACACGCGACAAATTTATATATAATATATATTATAAATATTACTTGTAAATCGATTAATAATTATTATTAATAATAATTAATTATTAATATAGTATAGTATATAGTAACGTGTTATATGTCGTCCATCGCTGAGCAACGGCTCAATGGAAATTGTTAAGTTCCCACAGCGACGAATTGCTGAAACTACGGAAACAACGCGTTACAGCAGCAACGAGCATAGAACACGTGAAATCGAGCCCTGGGCATTGATGCGTTCTACCCCACCCGAAACCAGGTTCTCTGCCAATCTATATTGCTCTCCACACATCTAATTATCTGTGTATCTGTGCATCTATATACATAATTCTTTCACCCGTTCTTCTTGATATTTTTAAATAAATTTTATCCCTCAGTCTACGTAATAATCAAATTTCCTCGCTATCCACCGTTTATTTGTTCTAATATTGTCTGTGTGCAATAAAAAAGAAAAGGGATATCCATTTATTTATGGAAACTCATAATTACGGCCATATTTCTATAGCTGAGAAATTTAAATTTCTTTCATAATGGGATTCATCTTAAGTTTGAGAATGCAAGTGCCATACCTCAGGCAAAATTGTAAAATAAATGTAAGAAATACCTTATTTGTAACAATTTATCTGTATGTGTTCAACATAATTATGTCTCACAACCTTATGGGCCTTCACGGCCTGTTACAGGGATAGCATTACTTTACTTTACTTTACTTTATTTTACATGTTTCAAATGTAAATGATACACACACAGTCTGACCATTAATTTCCCGAACTGAGGCCATAGAATTCCATTCGCAAAAAATATAAAGAATATTTATTAACACCATCACTCAGTGTGGTCCAACGCTTTTCCGCACAACGTTTTCATCCCTCGTATAACTACTCACATCCCGGCTAAATTTTACTGAATTAAGTTTCGATTTGCCTTTCCTCCCTTCGAAACTCCATCGCAAAGGAAATAAAATATAATTTATCTGTTGAGTCTCGAGTTCTCCTCGTCTGCACTAGACTGATCTTCGCAAGATAAATTCAAAACATAAACTAATTTGAGTATCGATCTTGCCTCGCCTCGACTTGACACACCGTCGGAAGAAAAAAATAAAAATATAATTGAAATAAATTCATTCTGGATGTCGCCTCAAATGCTAGCGACACTCTGTCGCAAAGAAAAGTAAGAAATTGAGTATCTGAATCTAGATCTCGCCTCCACTTCACTTTACCTCACAAAAAAAAAACAAGAAAACAGACACTGATTAATTTGTCTGATTTGAGTCTCAATTTTGTAGCTACTCGATAATTTATTGCAAAAATAAAGTAAACTAAGGAATGTAATAAATATATTGAGTCTCTACGTCATCGGCACTATGCTACAAGCCGGAAGGTCGCGGGTTCAAGTCCCGATGAAGTCACTGGATTTTTCCAATTAACCTAATCCTTTCAGCCGCTCTATGCCCTGGGGTTGACTCATCCTCTAACAGAAATGAGTACCAGGAATTAATGAAATAACATTCCTGGGGAGAAAAGGGAAGCCGGCGCATAAGACTGACAACCTTACCGCCATCTTTGAGCCGACTGTCTAGATAATGTGGGAGCCTCAACGTCTCACATCCCTATGGGCCTTCACAGCCTGTTACAGGGATAGCTTTACTTTTAAGCCTCCAATCGAGTCTCCTTAGTGAAAGAATAGAATGAAATTGTAAAATAATTTAACTACATTGAGTCAAAGTCAAATTCAGAGTCAGAGTTACTTTACGACATTCGAAGCGCAGGATTGCTGAGGGGATAATCAAAAGGGGAAGCACAATTGACTACTGTAGGTCGCGGTGCAAGGGCCGAGAAGGCCTACCCCTCATACATTCATTCATTCATACTTTACGACTGGCGGCTTAACATCAAATACTTCATCCTGTCGACAAGCCACATGAGACTCGCCGGCACTTGCCGGCGTACTCATTCTCAGGTCGCAGTCCCGCGGGATACATGATCATATTTTACTCTCTCAGATTTGAGTCTCCACCAACCTGGAGGGCGAGGTCCCCCCGCCATCTACGTATGTTCCCCCAGGACCAGTGTGGTCCAGTTATACCCTCAAAGCACTGGCTTCCCTATTTGACCCCTCATATGTCTCGCAAGGCTACGGTGGAGGTATTCGATCCCGCCGCCACATGAGCTCAATGAAATGGAGTGTCGTTCTCGCCCTATGTAACATTTCGTTTAGACTTGGACTCGAACTGCATAGAAATATGACATCAAAAAATGCCATTGTTCCGTGTTTTTCCTTGCCTAGCAACTGCCGTCTTTTCTGGCTGAACTATTACAGCTCTCAGGCTTTAGGTTATGTACAGAGGCACACTCACAGCAAGGTTATCATATAAGCCTCCTTTCACTTTTCAAAATAAGTAGGTGGGAAAGGTGCAGTCAAGGTACCCGGTACCCTGTCGAGATGAGGACCGAATGGTTCAACTCCGTAACGACTCGCTCAGCCTGTGAAGTTGTGTGGTCTTCTGGGCAATAACAAAATGTCTTCTGATAGGTTGCTACCACTTCTGTTCTGGTGTTGGTAAGAGCACGTTGCTACGCAACGTCAGTTTTAACGAAGCACCGCACCCTCTCCCCCTCTCCTGCATTATTCGGCCGTTGCTCCGACACTGGCTTGTTTGATTATACGTCAACAAGTTTCATATTGTAGTAGGCAGATAGTTTTGAAAGGAAACTGATTTAAATTAATTTATTACAGATGCCAGGCTCTGCTAATGCCGAGAAGGCTCGAAGTAAGGAGACTAGCAGCCCGCTTATGGATCTACAACCTAATGGGAACAAGGTAAGCAGACTGAGAGAGTGGCACAGTCCGTCTCTCCCCAGACGTGATGATTAAGGACCGGAATTTTATGCCCTAATAATCCCTTAAATATGTATGCATTTATGCATGAAAAACTTCCCAAATATGCATTAAAATATACACATAAAAATTTATACGAATTATTAAAATTGATTTTACATTATTCTAAGACCAACAAATCAATATTTAAGTTCATTTTATGTAATCAGTGAATGATTCACTTGTAATAAAACGCTATACTTAAATACAAACAAAGCCAACATATTTCAATATAAATTAAAAAACCAATGGTACTCACATTAAGCTCTTCGAACTTTCAACTTCTCTTCTGTTGCAGTTCACAATTACTAAATGTTTTAGGTTTTCCATAGTTAGTCGCCTCCAATTGTCTCGTAAGATATCCTTATAGCGGGAAAAACTTCTTTCCACCTCACAGAAACTTAGGGGCGCATGTACAAAAGCCGCTATTTGCTCCACTGTTAGTGATTTTTTACTTGGCAGTTCAGTACTCTTACCGGCTAAAATTTCTTCAATTTCACAAATTTGTTCATATCCTGGATTTTTTTTAAGAATGCTGTGTACATTTTCCTTTGCCACTTCACCAACTCTTCCAGGAACCGAATTCAATTTGGAAACACACTTAACGACTGATACAGAGTAGTATTGCTATTGGTCACCTCCAGTGAGGAAATGGCGGATGGAAGATTATATGGGGTAGGTTGTTCATTCTTATTAAGGGATCCAAGTATACAATTTGCAGTAAACCGTCCCTCACAATCTTATGTTTCGTCGATTGATACCCACACAAAATTATCTTGAATCTTATCTCTAATGCTTTCAATTGTATGATCGTAACACTGCTTCACGTAGTTTTTGCGCACAGTAGATTCATCCGGCACTTTACAGTGTATACTTCTCTATGAAGTTTCTCAGACTAGGATTGGTTAGTTTCCACACCGGAATATCTGCCGCTAAAAATGTTTCGCATAAATCAAAGGAAAACTGTAAAAGACTATTATTAGAAAATTCACTAAGCAATTTTTGAACAGGAGCACTTTTTGTGAATTTAATTTTAATATTCTCTTTGCGTATATTAGTGTTCAAATGCTGAAGCACTTGAAAGCGTGTTTCACAATCAACTGTTTTCTCACACGCTCGGCAATAAAGAATTTCGTTATCCGTACTTATCATCTCTCCTTCGAACTCCCGCTGATACAGCTGTAATTTAGTTTTCTGACTTACCTTCACTTTCGGCATGACTACAGAAAGCTAAACAAACTTAACTACAAACTAGTCACCACTAATGTGAATGGCCCCAGCTTCAAACGAAGAAGCGTAACGAACCTCATGGAGACTTTGGAAATAAGTAAGTGAAGTCCCTTATCGGTTGAATAGTATTACGTTGATAGCTGCTACATGTGGACGCCTCCGACTCTCTCTTCGCAGCCACTTTGATGGTACGCGGATGAGGCAAGTTACGAGTAGAGAGATCGGGGAAGTCCCGTTCTGGGTATTGCATCAGAAATGCATGACGAAATGTTGAGTCAAGTATGCGACATATTCTCATACGGAAAAGAAGAATTGTATGCACAGGACCGTTATAGAAAATTTGAATATAAAAATTAAAAAATATATTTGATAAATATTGTCGCGTGTTGGGTGTATAACGCGACAGATAACTTCACGCCGTATTTTATATAGCGAATTTTATTTCACATTCGCACTCACAATCACCCAAATTTCAGATTTACGATTACACTCCAAATGCCAGAATACAACTGACTAGTTGCTGGCTAACTCGAAACTAACTCGGAGGTAGCTCGAGGACTGACTCGTAGGTAGCTCCAGGACTGACTGTGAATAGCCTTCGCTGCGCCTCATGTAGCCTCGATCGGACAATACAGAAAACGGCCACGTAATAAGCACCCTTGTTGCCTGGCGCTGTGTTGCTAGTAACGCTAGCGGTAGTAACCGCTGTTACCACCGTCGTCTCTCGCAATCATATTTACCCGTGCTGCCCTTGGTGATGTCATCGCTGTTGACTCGCTTTGCATAGCGACCAGGATGCTAGGACTCGGCTAACTTCGGCTTACTTCGGCTTCGCTCGGCGCCGCTCGTGACGTCACCGCGGGGAGAGTTGCGGGGTGATTACTCGCCTATTACGCGAGCGCTACGTTACCGCTACGTGCAGCTGGGGAGGTAGGGGTCAACATGTCACACTATTTTTAAAAGAAAATATGCAGTATAAATAGAGATCCTCGAAAATATGATGCTTATTCATAAAGCAGGCAAAATATGCATTTATATGTACCATAAAACCGTGTCCAAAATTTAAGAAATGAAGTTATTCATGCATATATCCAAAGGAGCATACTTTCTAGCTACAAGAAAGAAATATGCATTTGCATTAAAATCCGGTCCCTAGTGATGATACAGCGGCGTATACCACGCACTGTCTCACGTCATCATTATTTGCATGCAACTCTGCATTTACTAACAAACCAACAAACGAACCCCTCTATGAAGCTGAGTTCTTAGTGCCAAGCCTCCGGTCGCTCAGCTCCTCAAGAAATTCCAAATTTTTTACGATATCCCAAGATTCCTTACGGTGTTCATAAGAGCTGCCCATTGGACACTATCCTGAGCCAGATGAATCCAGTCCATACCAGTCTATCCTATTTCTCCAAAATCAATTTCAATATTATACTCCCACGTAAATTGTAATTATGCCTAACGGTCTCCTCAGTTTTCTCTTTCCACCAGAATGCTATAAGCATTTCACTTCGCCCCATTCATGCTGCATTCCCTTCCCATCTTATCTTCCTCGACCTCCTGCGTCCCCACTGAATTTTGCATGGATTTTGCTGTTTTCAGTGAATGTGCCCTGCTTATGTTTCACGCATCAAATTTTATATTCATTCTAACATAAATTTATTTTGTAATGAAGTAAGAATAATTTACTGATGGAACCGTGGTGGGTGCGAAACCTTGCAGATCTTGTAGCGCTCTATTCGAGCGCTACAAGACCTTTCTTCTTACTCGTGAATACTCCTTTATATATAACAAAGGACATCAGCAGATTATTTCACGAGTGCATAGTGTTCACACAGCTACCAGCGCTGTACACCGTACTCCCTTATACTTATGCTATTGGGGCAGAGGCCCCATCTATCTCTTAGGAAGGATCCGTTGCAAGGATAGAGAGAAAGCATGCTTTTCATTTCTGCCAATTTCTCATGCAAACGGTGAACACTGCGAGCCATACATGTTGGGTAAAGGGAAGTTTACTGTGTGTACTGTTTACATTGTGTTATCTGTGCTAGGTTTCGGTTCCAAGGAGAGAGCGAGGCAGTCCCTCCACTCCAGTGCCCCACCGTGACGTTGGAGGTAAGTAATATGGTAAGATAATGCTGTATTCCTGTCAATTCATATGTTTAAACGATAAATCTAAAATGTTAAGAAGAGAATAAATACATAAATTTCCGCGAAGTGTAAGTCGCAAACTGTTTCTCACTACACGCTAGATGTTTTATGCATGAAGAACCGCACGTAAAACTCCGCGGGAGTTGCTTAGAGAGCGTTGTCTTATCTGGCTCCACGATTCATGCTTGTCAGGAGGGTGAGGGGAGAGACTGCAGTGTTACCTTATAAGTATCCTTTTGCTTTACAAACGTAAGAAAATTAGACCAATAAGGATGAACGGTAAAATAGATCCGCCGTAAGCTGCATCCTCACATGGCGACTGCTCTGAACAGTAGGCATCCTAGTCACGTGCCAATCGCCACGACTCAGTCGTCTCCAAGGATAATTCTCTCGCAATTAACTCAAAACTCTTCAGTCTCCCAGGGTTCCATTGGTTCCCGAGTACACACACAAACTTTGCTGAGTGCTAGTGTCGTCAGATATGTGTTCACTAATGCTTAAAAAGATATTCATGTTCATGTAGTAGCGCAGTAATATTGCGGCCAAGAGTAAACATTGAGAGCCCAAAGACAAGCTCAGTATTTATGTGTTGATCACTATTAAATTAGCATCACAGATCTGGATCAGGTTCTAATTGCTTTTACGTACACTAAAATAATTAGGAAATATAGTTGTCTCTGCATCTGAATGAGGAGGCTGATACTCTTCGCCATTTTATAACGTGTATGTATGTCGACCGCCTCTGTGGTCTAGTGATCAAAGTTCCTTGCTACAGATCCAGAGGTCGATTCCCGGCTTTACCATATTTTCTGAGAAATATTGGGTCTGGAACGGGGTACACTCAGCCTCGCGACGATAATTGAGGATCTATTTCAAGGAAATAGCGACTCCGGTCTAGAAAACCGAGATTTACGGCGATCTGTTGCGCCAAAGTTGGCATTAATTTCGCCGATAAGCGACGGTCGCTTGGTCGGTTAGTTCGCTTGCGAACTACAGGCCACGGAGTTTGTTTGTATGTATATCAAACAAAAACATCACTTACGGGTTCGAACACGCCCATCCAGCACTCATGCCGTCGCTATAATAATGTGCTATCATAACTCCTGTAATAATAATTAATAAGTAACGTTATCGAATTGTGCAGTTGTTATTATTGAGCCCAAACATTCATTTCTGTGTTCGCAAGAGCTCTGCGCTGGTGCCTACCCCAATCATAAACACCCGTTCCTATATCTCTTAGATTCATAGTAATATTATTTATTTACTGGTATCTTTTCCTCTCTTTAATCAAAGGATTTTATATATTCACTCCATTTAGTCACTTCCTCCCTTATGTAAACATTCCAATCTCACTCTCAATTCGGAATGTTTTATGACGCTCCTGATCCGGTTCTCTCTGTTTTTCTACTTGATCTCCCTTTCGTCCAGATAATCTCCTCAGTCCTCCTCCTCAGCCTACTCTCCTACGTTGTTGGTAGAGGCAAAGTTTCGCAACCAAACAGATGCACAGAAAAAATCAGTTTTTGTGTACTCTACTTTTCATTTTGAGAGACTGCAAGAAGACAAATTATTCTAGACGGAATTCTAGCAAGAAATAGCAGAGTTCAGTCTCCTATTAATTTTCCTCATGAGTCAAATTCTAACTTATTACTGCTATTCCCAAATATTTGGGAACTTCCATAATTTCAGAGGATGTATTTATTATAATTACGCTATGAAATTGTCCCGAATCCTGGGGATGAGACATCTACACATACTTAGATGACTCTGTGTTTTCTTCCCAGCTTCTTTCTTCCTAAATTAATTACAGCAATACCTCACATAGTCCGGGTAATCGATTCCGCCAATATTCCGGGCTGTTTGAAACCGGACTAATCGAGGAACTAAATACATGTAACAAATACTAATTGGCTCCAAAAAAATCTTTTTTTCAATAAATAAAATGCCATTAATAAATTGAAATATCTTTATTCGAAATAATTTTAAAAAATCATGTCTTTCGCAATTCATTTTTTGTTCTATAAAAGTTGCAATATTGATGTCTGCAAATTCTCCTTCTTTGGTCTTTTCTCTTCATACATTTCTTTGTATCAACGAATTGCATTGTTTATTGTTTGGCGATTTGTGAGGCTACGTTCAGTATTGTGAGTTAATGCACGTTCCGCTTAAAACCACGTAAGCCGTGCCCAGTGCCAATTTCATAGAGCACGTTTGAGCCTCTTCGTAGGTCTTGAAGCAGTGAAGAAGAAAATGTCTTTCTTTGATGAGGTTAAAACCTTCCGTCCAGCCCGTACACCGCTGCTATATACAACTGAGTTATCCCGACACCAACACTGTAACACGTATTATTATAATTATTAAGGAAAACGAGAAGCTAAGGGAAGAAAAAATTAAAAATTGTAACAAGATGTCGGAATGAAAAGCTCGAAGGAATACAGATAAGAAATAATGAAAGGTAAAGGATAGGATCATTTTGTTCCATGTTTTCACCACGTCTTTATATCTCTTCTACATATGATGCGAAAAGAAATGCTTCCATCAGCTTACGGGAATGAAAGATGGATCAGTATCGAAAGTTTCCTCCAAGTGAAGCAAGTAATGCTCGAGCAATGATCGCTTATGAACGCTGTTCTTCAAGATATTCTCTCAGTTCCAGAGCTGAGTGTCTTACGTTACATGCATTAAATTAGGAGGAAATATTTCATTACCAGTGGCCTCGTTCTCTTGCAGAAACACAGGTAAGGGACAGCCTTGAGAGACCTGTGCAGGCGCCGGTTATGAAGCCCAAGTCAACAAAGGCAGTAACTCAGGACGTCAAGGGACATCGGCGTGCTGGGAGACGTCGTATTCCAAACTACCGTATTCCCGATTACAGTGGCATTCAGTCCAAAATTGACTGTTGGAATAAGGACTGGAAAATTGGAGGCGAAAGCAGTGAGGTGAGCAGCACGGTGAATTGTAGCGTGATTCAGATACAAGGGAGAACCTGCCTGGTATCGGCTAGAAGACCTGATTCTATTTGCTTCACTTTCGATTTATTTCTGTTTCATGCCTATTTCTCTGAAACGGTTGAATCACACAAATCTCAATTGTTGATTGACCGTCACTGAAAAGAGTGTTGTCATGTTCTAGAAGGCACAGCATTTCTTAAAAGCCGCTGTGTGAAACCCCATTGTTCTGTGTTCCATTTATGTTTTGCTTAAACTCCTTACTGCGACTACCAAGTTAATATCTGTATCACATCTCGCAAAGTGGAGCGTGTGCATTGCAAGCGCACTTGTATCCTGTCTGCTGTTCTTCAGGTTGAGGTTGATCTGAATATGCGTGTGTGTGATTGTGGCACTTCCTGCATGCCACATCCAATCACATTCTGCAAACTGGAGCGTGCGCAGTGCAAGAGCACTTGTGTCCTCTCTGCTGTTCTTCAGGTTGAGGTTGATCTGAATATGCGTGTGTGTGATTGTGGCACTTCCTGCATGCCACATCCAATCACATTCTGCAAACTGGAGCGTGCGCAGTGCAAGAGCACTTGTGTCCTCTCTGCTGTTCTTCAGGTTGAGGTTGATCTGAATATGCGTGTGTGTGATTCTGGCACTTCCTGCATGCAACATCCTGTCACATCCCGCAAAGTGGAGCGTTGCGTAGTGCAAGCGCACTTTTGTCTTTCCTGCTGTTCTTCAGGTTGAACTTGATCTGAATATTCGTGTGTGGGATTCTGGCACTTCCTCCATGCCATTCATACTGTCACTCGAATATCTGTTGTGTCCACTCAGGAGCCAGGATAGCGCATTTGGTATAGTGACTTGTTAAGGGATGGACGACGGAGGGATCGGAATTCGAGTCACGGTAGGATGAAGAATTTTCTCTCTTTCAATTGACCTAATCCTTCGAGCCGCAGTATGGTCCTGGAGTCGATTCAGCCCTTAACATAAGTTAGGTCCATAAATCTTCCTGGGGGAATTAAGAGAGGCCGGAATGTAAGCCTGACAACCTCACCGCCATCTGTGGGACGATTGTCTAGTAAACGTGGGAGCCTCGACGTCTCAAAATTTACGGAACTTCAAAACTTCTTACTACTTACCTTATTTTTACATTACTGAAAACTGTTCAATCACCAGGGATTCATTGGCTCGTGAGTATACACAAATATGTGTGCGTGCTCTTGTAGTCAGACACCTTTGACCAAAGCATATAGAAGATTTTCGTTTTTCTGTACTGATGCAAAACCGTCTCTGTGGTCTAGTTGTCGGTGTTCCCGGTTACAGATCCAGAGATCCTGTTTCGAGTCCCGGCGCTACTATATTTTCTGATAAGTAGTCGGTCAGGAACGTGGTCCACACTGCCTCGTGAGGATAATTGAGCAATTTGAATGAAATAGTGGCTTCGTTCTAGAAAACCGAAATTAACGGGCGAGCGAATATTTTATTCTAGAAAAAATTATTTAGTAAAGTAAAGCTATCCCTGTAACAGGCCGTGAAAACCTATAGGGTTGTGAGACGTTGAGGGTCCCACATTAAGTAGATAATCTATTCAAAGATGGTGGTGAGGTTGTCAGCACCCCTTTACTCAGCAAGAAAATGATTTAATTAATTTCTGGTACTCATTTCTGTTAGAGGCTGGGTCGACCCCAGGGCCATAGATCGGCTGGAAGGATTAGGTCAATAGAAAAAATCCAGTGACAACATCTGGACTTGAACCCGCGACCTTCCGGCTTGTAGCATAGTGCCTCAACCGACTACGCTACCAGCTGCCCCAGAAAAGAATATTGTAAATACAAAAAAGGCCTGGGCCATGCATATCCGGTCTTCTGTAGCACATTCTTATAAATATCTTATTATACAATAACGGTAACTCCGAGATTCTTGTTATAGATCTTTAAATTAAACCTGAGATTACACTGTTAATAATCAGCACATTTACTTCTTTCACTTTCTTATATATCTATTGCATACAAATCTAAGAATGTTGTTTATGAAGTAAGAGACGCCTTACAGATTTTTTTTATTCTAGCCTTAAGAGCTCTATAATTGATTTTGGGTATTCCTCTTTGCTGTTCTCAGACAGAATGTCCATCGTTGTTGCCCGTTGGTCCTCGTACCGTTTACAGCCCCAGAAGATATGTTCCTCTGTTTGCAGCCCATCACCACATTCGCATTCGGCTGTGGTCACAATGTTAAACCTGTTTAGGCTTGCTTTAAGACTGGTGTGGCCTGGTCTCATGCGGTTTATTGACACGAAGGCACGGCGGTTGATTTTTATCTCTCGGAGCCACATTCTACTCTGTCCCCTTTGGTGTTTTGACAAAAATTGTGAAGTTCTTCTTTTCCTTTCTTTTTCCAGTGGGTTTAAGATCTGCTACTGGTTGTAGTAATTGACCCTCTTTGCCTTCTTTCATTGCTTGCTTTGCATCCAAGTCGGCCCTCTCATTAACTTCCACCGTGCAGTGCCAGGGGATCCAATTGACTCTCTCTGCCTTCTTTGATTGCTTGCTTTGCCTCGAAGTCGGCCCTCTAATTAACTTCCACTGCGCAGTGCCACGGGATCCAATTGACTCTTTCTACCTTCTTTGATTGCTTGCTTTGCCTCCAAGTCGGCCGTCTCATTAACTTCAACTCCGTAGCGCCCCGGGATCCAATTGATTCTCTCTGCCTTCTTTGATTGCTTTTTTTGCCTCGAAGTCGGCCCTCTCATTAACTTCCACTGTGCAGTGCCACGGGATCCAATTGACTCTCTCTACCTTCTTTGATTGCTTGCTTTGCATCCAAGTCGGCCCTCTCAATAACTTCAGCTGCGCAGTGCCCCGGGATCCAATTGACTCTCTCTGCCTTCTTTGATTGCTTGCTTTTTCTCCAAGTCGGCCCTCTCATTAACTTCCACTGTGCAGTGCCACGGGATCCAATTGACTCTCTCTGCCTTCTTTCATTGCTTGCTTTGCCTCCAAGTCGACCCTCTCATTAACATCAGCTGCGCAGTGCCACGGGATCCAATTGACTCTCTCTACCTTCTTTGACTGCTTGCTTTGCCTCCAAGTCGGCCCTCTCATTAACTTCCACTGTGCAGTGCCACGGGATCCAATTGACTCTCTCTACCTTCTTTGACTGCTTGCTTTGCCTCCAAGTCGGCCCTCTCATTAACTTCAGCTCCGCACTGCCCCGAGATCCAGTAAAATTGGACGATATTTCCTTCGTTATTCCAGTCTCTGTCGAATCGCGAGGGATTCGTTGCGCTGACCACGCGACACCCTCTATTCACTAAAGTTGGTACTAATTTCTCCGACAAGCGGCGGTGGCTTGATCGGTATATTTCGTTTGCGGACTAATACCACGGAGTTTATTTATTTCTTTGTTTGTTTGTCCTGATGGAATTCCTTTCGGAAACAAATAATGTTACATCCAGTGCGTCATATTGCAACTCCACACAAACTTTAGTATTTATGCTTTGATTGCTGTTGCATCAGCATCACTGCTCTCGTTCAGATTCTCATTGGCTTTATCTACACTGTGACTGTTGGGCAGTATAGTTGCCTTTTCCTTCTGAAGAGGAAACTCTATCCTTATATGTGTATTCATAGAATTTTAATATGTGTATGTATATGGAATAATGACATTCCTCTTGAAAAAATCATGAAATTGTCTGCCTATGCAAACTGATCTTTAGTATTCCAACTGTGAAGGAGACTTCTGCAACTAAATGCAAATATTAAATCTGCCTTGTGATATTTTAAAATTTTCGATAATATCTTATCAGGGAATGTACGTAATATACGGGCGACATAAGTCAAGGCAGGTTGACGTGCAAAAAATTTGCATGGGAATCAGTTTCTTTTGGGTGGCTGGCAAGGCATATTTCTGTCTAGTGAATTCTTTCTTAAATCGAAAATTAATGAAGAAGCGACTATAACGAATATTAAAAGAATTCCTTACAGAGAATTTGTAAGTTATTTTTCTTATGATTTGAAAACCCTGGCGGAATCAAATAAAATATCACAAAATTGATTAAATGCAACTTAGTGCGTAAGTTTTCTTGCCTCACCCCCTCCAGAAAAACGCTGGCAGCACCCCTGACTCTTCTCTTCATGTGTAAATATTTACGTAGGCTGCTGGCTAGTACGGAGAGCTCAGTCGGCATAACGGCGGGCTGCGGGCATCGGTCTTATATACAAGCTTATAATTACATAATAAAGCTGAGGTTTCCATCGGAATTAGAAATTGATCCGTACTCTCAATCCCAAGGAGGACTGAAAGACTGAATTTGGAAAATGACTGCATGCTTCCTGGCTCCTGTAGGATGTCTAGCACGTTGGTATAGAAGATCTTCTGGAGTAATATAATAATTAGAGAAATATAATTCCGCCGAGAATTTGCGGGTTCGCAAGACAACTCCAGTGAAGGGTCACTGGGACGAAGTGTAAATACGAAATAATGAAAGGGAAACGAAAAGATAATGTTGCTCCATGTTTTCTCGACACCATTATCCCTCTTTCACATATAACACGACAAGATAAGCTTCCTTCACCTCACTTGCATAATGTTCTATATATACACGAGAGGAGGACTGATGGTTCAGTATTGAAAGTTCCATCCAAGTAAAGGAAGTAATGTTCCGAGCAATACTTGCTTTGGGATGATGTTCCTCGAGAGATTTCCCCCAGTGCCACTGAGGAACACGACTTGCCTTTCATGTAATTTAAAGGGAAGTTTACTGTATAAGTGCATCTGATAACTGATGTACGTTATGATATTTGTACCAGGAGGACGCATCAGATTATGCAGCACGGCCAAGGAATGAACAAGGCGGTTCCACTACTCAAGTGGCTGAGTGTAACGCGGAAGGTAAGCAATATAATAAGATAATGATGAATTGCTGGCATTCCTTATGTTAGACAGTAACTTTTATTTCTTAAGAAAGGAATAAATACATAGATTAAAGAGAAACGAGGTCCTTGACTTCTTTCACTAGATGATGAATGTTTGATACTTTAGGATGTACAGGAAGAACACCGTGGGAACTTGTTAACCTAGCCGCCGCGTCTTTTCTGGCTACAATACCCTTGCCTTTAGAAGGGTCACGGTTGAGACTGGAATTCTATCTCAGAAGTTTCCTTTTGCTTTATAGTTGTAAGAAATTTTGACTAATAAGGGTGAAAGGGTAAAATAGATCCCTCGAAAAATGCTTCCTAGCATGGCGACTTCTCTAAGCGTTCAGCATCCCATTCATCGTGTCAATCACCACGGAACAGTCGCTCCTGCCAAAAATCCTAACGCACTACACAGGGGCGTAGGGTACATGGATGTGGTGGAAGCATTGCTTCCCTATAGAAAAGCAACTGTTATGGCGTGAAGGGGGCGTGGAGGTACCTCCACCGCTTCCGCCACTGTACTTCTCGCTAGCTGTCGCTACACTTATCTCCTGCCGTGATGACGGAGGGCGAGGAAATATCCCTCTCCGTCACCCTGTTTAGTATGCTGCCACCATCTTGGTAATCCAAGAAATCTCGTACTTATCTTAGCTTGCATTACTGTCTGGGGTAAACCGTGAATCGCCGAAGCTTTGGGAAGTCCTGGAGTCGGAGGAAGAGGATAACACTCGTGGATATGTGTGGTTGAATGAAACTCTTACACATTCCTAGCCTATTCTATTTACCTACGTCTTTAAATACCCTATATACACACTGTGCCGACGTTTGTCGGTTCGTCTTGCACTGGGGAATAATCCTGCAGGGTCTCGTCATGTCCCCCTCCTATCGCCTACTGTCGGTATTCTATGCTTGGAATCACTGAAGGAACCTAGCCCATCTGATTAGCCTATCGCTCCCGGGTTACACTTTACACTTAACGATCATGGCTATATGAGATGGTTTCACTTACTTGAGCTGCTGATGAGGAGGCTCGCCATCACGATCCAGCGTCCACTCATGGCCACAATTGTAATACTAATGTAATGACATTAATAAGAATAGTGTAATAGATCCGAATAGAATCGAATCGGATCGACTAGGCAAAAGGCCAAAGCCAAAAAGAAGAAGAAGCCCCTAAAATGGGTCGTCTCGGGTTTTTATAACCTCTGCTCGCTGACTCGTCGCCTTCCGGGTGTAGGGGGTCCTCCTACCNTTTTTTTTTCCAAGCTTACCGTCTAATTGTAGTGATTCCACATTTACCAAAAAACTACATCTACATGCATGTGACCTTTGCTCCATTACATCCCCCCTCACAAAACGTGAGATAATTCCTGTAAGAGAAATATTACACTTGTTTTCTACTCATGCTACTAACAGTCCCTTTCACCTAATTATCATCATTACAAATATCATATATACTTATTACATCAATTTCCTTTATTGTCTATTATTGTTCTCTTTCTGTCCCCTGTATTCACTGTCACTTTGTTTGTGTTCATTCATTGGAACACTGTAGTCTCGGATGGGGGTCCGAGGTCTCTGGTCTGCCTGTCTTCGGTCGCCATCTCTCGGTCGGTCCCTCCTGTGGGTCCGTCCTTCGGGTGGTCCGGGCTGTTGCCCTGGGTGTTGTCTGCTATGGCCCTCCCCCTAGCGCCGCGCGCTTGGAAGATGAGCAGCGCTCGTCGGTGCCTCCATAGACACAGACCGAGTACTGTGGCTGCTGCTAGCGAACCGGTCACGATTCCGCTGCATATCCATCTCTGCGTCAGGAGCCTGGCCTCCACCTGCTGTCGTAGTTGAGTCATCGTCCTGGGGGTGGTGTCGGGAGTAGATCCGTCCTCCGGGTCTTCCCATACGTCCCATACATCTCCTAGCAACCCTTGGTGCTGCTTCCAGTAGGTGACCTCCTCTGAGTGTAAGAGGTCCGGTGCCTGCGGTGCAACGATTCCTGGGCCGTCCCAATCGGCCGTGGACTGGAACTGCCGACTGGCTGGCAGCGTCAGCTGTCCGATGATCAGGTCGCAGCCATCCGGCTGCGTGATGATGCCTGTGCCTTCTATGCCCGTTATGTTCACGGGGCATCGTTGAGAGCTTATACATCTGCATTCAACCCTTGTAAGCTTCCCCACCGCATATAGCCATGAATTTTCAAAAGGGTGTTTCCTAAACACGGGTCTAAAATTCTCTGACAATATTTCCCGCGAACAAAACTCGTATCCCTGTCCTGTTCCGAAAAACAAACTACTCAAACACGTCTCAGAATTCCTCTCAATTATCGGAACTGTCCCTCGACATATAACAATATTTCCTTCTCTACAATTTTGAACATACCCTGGCGGTAAAATCATATAACTTCTTTTATCGGAGGACACTGCTAGTCTCTCCTTTCCTGTTTGTACCTGTACAAACTTGCCTAAATTTTGTTCGAATGAAGGTAACGGTATAGGTTCGTAAACAGTGTAGGTTCGCTGTTCGGTTCGTAAGGGTAGTTGGATAATGAGGCGAATTGCTTCGCTCGTAGCCAGTACTGCAACCTCCGAAGATGCATAAAACACATGCATGTTCTCCGGTTTCAAGGCTGTTATGAACGAGTAGCCTTGTTCCAATTGTACGTAAATATCGCGCAAAATCGCGAATAATTTGTGCGAGGGCACAAACTGGCAGTCAATCGATGTAACGTTGCCATATCTAAGCTTAAAGCTAAGCTTGTTAAATCTGTATAAATTTTCATTATTAGTATTTCTAATTCCCTCGTGTAACTGGCTTTCCTTACGGAGTTAGTTATTTGGTCCCTTGTCTGGTTAATCTTCTGCTCGAGCGTGAGCTGCTCTCTAACCAGTTCCTCATGGTTTAACTTCATTGCTCGCACCATCTGAGCTAATGTTTTAGCGTTTGCCCTTACTCGCGAATCCATTTCGCGGCTAACTGTTACGCGTTCCGTGGCGTCATGTACTAATTCCCCTACTTTATTCCGTAAGTTTTCTATCCTATCATTTAGTGGTCTCAAATCTTCACTAAGTGCTGCTCCGAAAAGAAATTTAAGTGCTTTCCCTCCTAGGCCAAACACTTTCCTGCGAACTCTCCGATCCCTTGGTCCGCTTGACTATCTATCCTCTTAGCGTGTTCCGTTACGCTAATGTCTACCGTGATCTATCACACGGCGTCTCTTAACAAAATCTCGCGTTCGCGCACAAGCGCATTCCTCTATTCATCTGAGCCCTACGGCTCCGCTGGTTTCAGGTTTCTCTCAACCTGAAGACATAAGAAGTGCGTCAGTTTCCGTTACCTCTGCACTTGCTTCGGCCTCCGGCCGTCTTTATTCTTTATAATTACGCCGATCTCGCGGTCGTAACGAGTAACCGTGTCGTTCTTCACTGAACGTGTCCATCGCTGTCGTATTTAGTGCTGATGGGCCATCATTACCTTCCCCAACAACTTCTCTTTCTGCTATGCTTCTTGTCTCTCTCTCTTCCGCTGGCGCATAAGTGCTGACTCTGCGGTTTGGTTCAGATGCCTCTTGACTCTCGTAAGGAGTGGGCATGTACTGAGGCGTGTATGCATCTCGTATCGTTTCCTCTCCGTCGCTCGACGCTGAATCATCTGGGTTCGTCTCTCTTTGCTCGAACCTGGGTCCTTGTTCCCTCATATTTCGCCGATGTTGTCTCCGTCTCTCACGGAGCTCTTCTCGTGTTGCTCTGCATAGCTTCAGTTGCTCTATGTGCAGATTTACTTCTCTTTTCCCTATTTGTACCCTGTACACTAGGTCAGAGATTTTTCGTATCACCTGGTACGGACCTAACCATTTAGGTTCCAGCTTTCTTCCCTTTACCATTTGTTTTCGGTACACCAGCTGGCCGGGTCGATACTCCATCCTTCGTGCTTTCCGGTCGTGGTGAACGCGCTGGTCCCTTCTCACTTGACTCAGTTTCCTCCTTGCAATTCTATGTGACTTTCGTCGTCGTCTGGCCAATCTGCTTACGGCCTCTCGTGCGCCGTTTTCCCTGGCGTTCCTTGTTTCGTAAGCGGTTAATTCTCTGTCCGCCGGGCCCTTCATTTCCTTACCGTGCGTTAAGTGGTAGGGCGAATACCCTGTGCTACCGTGTGGCTGCGATCGGTATGCCCATAGAACTAAATTGCGATGGTCGTCCCAGTTCGTCCCACTGGGGTCCGCATACATAGCCAGGCCCGCATGTAGGGTGCGGTGAAACATTTCCACCTGGCCGTTGCCTTGTGGTCGGTACGGGCTGGTGAATATTTTGTCCACTCCTAGGAGTCGGCAAGTCTCTCGGATTAATTCTGAGGTGAAGTTCCGCCCTCGATCGCTCAGGAGTTTATCACACACTCCATGGCGCGTAAAGATGTGCATGACCAGGGCGTTAGCTACCGTGGTGGCTTCCTGGTCAGGGAGGGGCACTGCCTCAGCCCACTTCGTGAAGTGATCGAGGTAGGTCAGGAGGTATCGGTTACCTCTCTTGGAAGTAGCGTAGGGTCCTGTGATGTCGATCGACGCGACTTCCCCTGGTTCTCTGGCCTCGGGTAGGCTACCCATGGGCGCTGTAATCACACGGCCCGTCTTCAAACGAGCGCATTGGTCGCAACTCAGAACGTAATCCTCTACGTCCCTGTGTAAGTTAGGCCAATAGTACTTCTTGCGAATCCATTTCTGTGTCTTGACTCCAGCGTGCGCAGCGAATTTGGCATCGTGGTGGTCCCTTATGATCCTACCCACCAACGTCTCCGGTATTACTAACCGAGGCGTTCCTTCCGGGTCTTTCCGATATAACAGGCCGTCTTCGTCGATTATGTACTCTCTCCGGGAGTCTAGGTCCTCCTTCACTTTCCTGCAAAATTTACCGAGCTCCTGTTCTGCTTTCACTTCCGGCCTAGTTACCTGTCCTTCCATTGTGAGGGTCCCTATATGGCGAGACAAGGCGT